TGGCTGTCTTGAATCACCTCCCTGTCCTCCATGTGCCTTAGCATAGCTTCCAGGAGGATCTGTTCCATGAAATTCCCAGGCACAGAGGTGAGACTGACTGGCCTGTAGTTCCCCGGGTCTTCCTTTTTTCCCTTTTTAAAAATGGGGGTTATGTTGCCCCTTTTCCAGTCAGTGGGAACTTCACCGGACTGCCATGACTTCTCAAATACGATGGATAGTGGCTTAGCAACTTCATCTGCCAGTTCCCTCAGGACCCACGGATTGATCTCATCGGGTCCGATGGACTTGTGCACCTCCAGGTGCCTTAGATGGTCTTGAACCTGATCTTCTCCCACAGTGGGCAGCTCTTCATTCTCCCAGTCCCTCCTTTGCCTTCTGTGGCTTGGGCGGTGAGGCTTGAGCATTTGCCAGTGAAGATTGAGGCAAACAAATCATTGAGTACCTCCGCCTTCTCCATATCCCAAGTAACCAGGTCTCCCGTTTTGTTCCGGAGAGGGCCCACATTTTCCCTTGTCTTCCTTTTAGCCCCGATGTACCTATAGACTCTTTTCTTGTTGCCCTTGATGTCCCTGGCCAGATTTCATTCTATCAGGGCTGACCCCTGGCTGCTCAGACAATTTCTCTGTATTCCTCCCAGGCTGCCTGTCCTTGCTTCTAATTCAAGAGCAATTCTTTACATGAAAAGAGTTAGTACATTCAATAGTTCAGATCCAGCATTGTCCTCTTAGCCGCAGTGAATTCCTGTCCTAGACTTCTACAGGTTTTGGCCTTTAATGGGCATATTTTATTGCACTCCTACTCATAAGAAATATTTTATTTTCTTCTTAAAGTGGAAATACAACATTTCTGTAATGCTTGATCAAGAGGAATTTGCCTCCTATTTTGTTCAGTCTCCTTGGCAGTATACCAATCTGAAGGTTAAAACTCTGCCTTTCTTTGGTGAAGGTTAATCCAGCAAACCCCATTCATGTGAGTCGTTCATTTTAGTGCCTTAGCTTCTCATCATGGTTCCAGCTGGATATAGGTATAGTCCAGCCTCTGTCTTGTAAGTCATGTAGCCAGTGAGATGCAGCAGATTTGGCATTTTTCAATAATTGAAGTGAAAAGGCAAAACTTTCACATCCGTCAGCTTTGGTAGCTTTGTTTGATTCTCTGCCAAGCAACATTTGGGACTCTGAAACTGCAGGAGTACTAGGCCTGAGTGAAGAGTCTGTCCACAGATGTGGTAAATCCATGGCCAGAAGCATATTCACTTAAAAAAACAAACCATAAAAAAAAGAGATGACTTGGGAACCAGATTAGTGTGGGCTAAGCTGATGCTATTAGGATGAAAATCTTATTATTGCCTTTTTTATACTAGATTACTAAAGAGTTGGTGTGTAAGATCCTATAAACACAGTGATAAAAAGGAATCTGAAAGAGGTACTGTGCAGTATCATCGCTCTTCAGTTTCCACACACACAACTGTAAGGCTTAAAATTGGACGCAGCGTTGCAAGTACAGGTTCACCAGTGAGGGGGAAATGAAATTCCCTCAATTTGCTGGCCACGCGCGTCCCCGTGCAGCTCAGGGTGTCGCTAGCCTTCCTGGGCACTGCAGCATCCCCAAGTCCTTTGTAGAAGAACTGCTAGTCAGGACTTCTAGACTTCTTTCAGCACGTAGGCTAGTAATAATTTCTTAATAATGGTTATCCCAATATGCATTTGTTTTTTGTTTATCAAACAATGCAGTTTGATTTCTATATCCCCTGGTCTGATATTGCTCTTCAGTTCGTAGTGTATCTATTTTTCTCTTTTTTTAAAATAATGAAGTTTGCAGAATTGTTTCTAGAACACTTGTCCTGTGGAGTATCCAAATTAGGATGCTTACTTGAGAAATCTTCCCTTCTCTCACCAGTTGGTTGAGGCTGCTTGCTTATTTTTCTAGAACTTATTATTATGTAAATGTCGCCAGGAATGGAGAGGTTTAGATCATCACTCGTGAAATTTGGACTCTAGCTGGTGAAGGTAGTGAACTGCAGTCCTCCTTCTCTTTGTTTTTGTGCCTAGGAAGGAGTTGTGGTTCAGATGTTAGACAAAAGGCATTGCTAGCCAAATGGTTTTCACATGGCCCTGTTAATAGTACTAATGCAATTCATACAGACAACACATTTCAAAGAACAAATACTACAGTAAAGTGGGTATCCAGCAAGTGCAGGAGGCGTGCTGGGGGGAACCAGCTCTCCCTGGAGTATTCCGTTACTGTAGTCGCACAGGCCTTTTTGGATATTATTATACAACTTTGTCAAAGAATGTATATGTATTTCTATTACTATGCATACGCATTGCCTTTTATATATTTAACATTGAGTAATGACAGACTCAGGGTGGAGAGTGTGTTTTTTGGAATTATTAATATCTTATTACCAAGTGTGATGACCTTTTGTCTTCTGTAAGCTCACACATACCAGTTTTCAAAAGCTTTTTTTTCCTTAATAGAAGGAAACGTTGCAGGCTCTGAACAATCATTCATCTTTAGGATATTGATTGATAGGATATTTGCAGAGGAGATGAATATTCTAGAACAGGTGATAGCAAGAACATCTTTCTGTCTAAAGGTAAACTCCAAGTGCTTAACTTTGGGCCTTTACTTCCTCAGTGGAACAGAAACATAACTTGGTTGTTCAGTTTTGTTTATTTGTTTGTTTTTTTAACCTACGGATTTTTGCCACATGATCATGGAAATACACCAGTTCAGTAAATGGTTGCCTGCAAAATACATATGGAACAGCAGCAGAGGGCTCCAAAAAGCAAGCAACACATTATAATCTAATGTCTCAACAATTGGGTGGGATGGGGTGAGATTTCCAACCAGAAACGTGCAGCTCGCATGCAGCTCGCATGTATAGTTCTGCATCACACAGCTCTTTCAAATTGTTTGAGCTAGATCTGTCATTACTAATACAGGTGTTGGTAACAACGAGTGCACCTGGATTTCTTCTAGCTTATTTCTTATAGCTAGTTTGATAACTGAGGGCAAAGCTCAGACTGTGAGGACATGCACCCTAACTTTGTGTATTCTAGTTTTCTGATTTCATGTTTTGCTTAATATGACATTTTGTAAGACCTTGAGTTTCAATTTGGCAACCTTAATTCTGAGTTAAAAATGCTTATTACGTAAACCATCTAGGCAGTGTTCAACACTTGTGAGATGTCCTTTTGGAGTGGAGAAGAATAGTTATTATTTTGTCCCTAAAGTGATTACAAGAAAATATTGAGTGATCTTTGGTTTTATTTCTTTTTTTGTTTGTTTTATTTTAAGGGGAATACTAGTGTTAAATGTGAAGCCAATATGTCAGAGACAGAAGAGAGACAATTCACTTCAGGAACTGAGCCTGTGAACAAACCTGTAGAAGAGATCGACTCATCTGTAAAACCCAGGTGCAGGAAAAGAAGACATAGTTCACACGAGGGCAAGTCCCCTGGTAAGAAGAGATTCTACATTTTTGTAGAGATTACCGAGGCAGCTACTCTGAAACTAGCTATTACAGAAAGGGGAGATAGAATAGTTCAGTTATTGTCTGCAGTGTAAGTACTTAATTGTGCCTTCAGTTAAAATATTGTACAACCTTTTAGTATACTTACCAACGTGCTTCTATAGATATGCTTACGCTAATTACTCTTATGCGGAAAAGGGTATAAATTGTATCAGTAAATAAAACCTGAAGTTCTGGGAGTTGTGTCAGAATCTTGGATGTCACAATATTGAGATGAAGTCCATAGATATGTTTGCTGGAGGGTGACAGTGCTACAAAGGAAACGCAGAGTAATGAGGTGACTGTAGAAGCAACAGGGAAAAAATCCACCAAACTGATGAAGTTAGTGTAGAAGTCCAAATCTTTTGTCTCAGATCACTAATTAAATTTTGTACCAGTCTGCTGACATGTATGCTGAAATACCTGAGAAAAACAAGCAGCAGAACGTCTGAGGCCAAACAATTGACAAATGTAGTAGCTAAAGGAAAAACCTAAATGTCCACAGTTCAGAGAGACATAGGAGGACACAAAGAGTAGTTTGGATCCATTCTAGAGGAAAAGTTGGTGCAGCCTGCAAGTCTCGCAAGAAGCTATTTCCCTCACAGCTGTTCATCAAAGACCTGACTGTAGAGTTTGAAGAGCTGTTGCTCACTTCAAAGGGTAGTTTCTAGATTCCAGATAATGATGCTAGTTAATAATTCAGCTTGTAACGCCCATCAGTTTCAAACATTTAAGTAAGGAATAAAGTCTTTTTGACAGGAAGCTGAGAAAAAAGGTTGGATGCCATCTTGAAAGAAGACAGGCTTTTGTTTAAACCAGAATTGAGAGTTCTTGTTCAATTACTTCCTGGTATCATGGATAATTAGCAAACTTCTCAGCTTTCATATCTGAAGCAAAGCATTTGCTTAATATACCAGTTGTAAAGTTACACACAGGAACATTTTGGAAAGCATTTCCATGGGATTGTTCCACAGAGATGAAACACTGTTACGCGAATGCTAACTAGCAACAATTAGCATAGAGTCTACTCTCTGGGAAATGTGATAGTCATCCAGGTCTACGTTTCCACTGTTGTACCTTTTAGTCTTGGTGTACATGTGGAGGGTAGAGACAGACAGCACACCTGAGCCAACCATGATCAGGCTCAAGTTGGCCCAAAATAAATTGGGTACATGATACAAGCCTCAAAGCTGGCATAGCCCATCTCCTGCAGTTCAACTGTAGGCCTGAAGCAGACGGGTTTAAATATAAGCTGACTTCTGTTGCTCTGACTACATGTTTTTCCTCCTTTGGGAACAACTTCTTCCTTAATCTTTCTGTGCTAAAATACTGCATCATGAAAATTCCCAGGTGTTTCTTCCCAACTTATCCTCTGAAAGTGATTGAGTCCTGTCCGTCTTCTTCTTGTCCTTTGGGCACTTATTTGCAAGTTTTCTGAGCCCGCGCTTTGATATGTATCCTGCTATAGAGAAGGCTTTTGTTCAATCTATTTCAGTAGGCTGCTGATATGATTCACTTTTCTTTGTCATGTTGTGATGCCAAGTTCTAGATATCACACAGCGAGAGCCAACATAATGTGGTACCAAAGGCCACTGCAATGGTGGGAGGCTGCAAAGGCCACAAGATGGGAGGAAAAGTCACTTCCATGACTGGGAGCAGCTCTGGGCCGAAACCAAGGTGATAATGTGTACAAATGAGCCAAGAATCAAACCCTCCCTTGTGGAGAAGGCATGATGTTCCTTTGAAGAACGAGACCAGATTTCTTTGCCTTTTTGCAGCTATCCTGTAGCAAGAGAGACAGCTGTTGTCTCACTAAATCTCAGGATTTCCCTCCATAGCTGCCAGCCCATCTCTGCAGCTCCATAAATCACTGAAATAGGTTATCTGTTTTCTTCAAATGAAAATCAATATACTTATCCAACTTTCTCAGCTAAATTCTAGTTTACCAGTTTGAAGAACCTCCTGCCAACCAGGGTCAAGATGAAAGGTCTCTCTAGTCCATTGTGCTGTCTCCTACAGTATCTTTGGCATTTTTGTACTACTAAGTAGAAAAGGCCTCAGTAAACTTTTCTTGAATTAATTTTTCTAGTCACTTTTTGAAGCCATGCAAACATTTAGCATCCACTGTGGTTTTTGTTGGTTAATGTCATTAACATAGGTTAATTACCCAGCGGGTGAAGAACCCTCCTCTTTGTTTGTTTTGAATGCAAGTGTTTGCTTTAACCATATCTTTACTCCTCCTGCACTAATTGTCTTTGTACCTGACAATTTGGCAGAGGGAGCCCGTTTTCTTTGGTAGCAGCAGGAGAAGAACAACTACTCGTGAGTCCTCCCGGGAGTCAGAGGCTGCAACAGAGGGTGCAGAACTTAATTCAGCACTAAGATACATCATTGCAAATGAGTATAGGCTGTGTCATCTGTTCCCTTCCCGCTCTTTTTCCTGAGAGACAGTGGGTATGGCTCTCTAGTTCCTGACGTGTTTATCACATTGAGGTGTGAGGGATAGTTCACCTTTCAGGGACTGCTTTTTCAGCCCCAGGCTCGCTCTTAGGACATAGATTTGAAGGTGCTGATGATGCATCTTTTTCCTCCGGTAGTTTCTAGTTGAGCTCATTTATAAAATGGGATTTTTGGAATAAATCTGTGTATGTTGGCAGCATCCACACTTGCAACAGGAGTGCTTCTGGACTTCATGAATGATTGATAGGAACTCTGTAAATTCTTCACATATCCTTCCCCATCTCCTCTGCACTGTACTCCACAGGTACACTCAGCTAGTGAACATAGTTGTACTGGACCTAATACCTGTGGTTTGTGCTTCCTCTTCTAAAAGAATACATAAGAAGGACAGATTCTGATTGGAGAAATTTTTATTGGCAGCCCTTCTTTCTGGAAATAGGGATCTCAGAGTGGAGCAGGTGGGATTTGTTACTTCTGGATTTAAGCATTTAAGCTGATACTGATACAGTAAGGAAAAAGCTTTCTTTCTCAATAGCTGGCCATTTATTTTTTGTGAGTCATCTAGTCCTTCAAATAATCTGGCAACTTCCTCTAATTTTTTTTTGTTACAAGAACACAGACAAAATACTGAGATGCTACTGACTCGTATGAGTCCATCATTATCATGCTGCAAGGTGCCCTAGACATTTACCACCCACTCCCATGCCACTACAGGTGTCACTATGCATTCCCTCTCATTCACTGCAAGGTAAATAGATTTATAGGTGCAATTGCTAAGGGCAAATCTTCATTCAGGCAAAGTCTCCCATGCTATCATATGTTCACTTGAACTGTTTCCTATGCCTTCCAGACAAAAATAATTTAATTTAGTTCATTAGTGTTCCTAATAGGTCACAGTGAGATCTCCTGCAAAGGTGTTAAGAGTCAATGTGGGGACAGGCCTGGCCCCGAACTCTTCAACATCTCCTGTCTGAAGCCCAAAGTGAAGTCGTTCTCAGGAGTTTGAACTGCAGCTTCTTGCTCCAGCTCAGTTGCCATTACCTTCACTTCATTTTATATTCAGTGGAGGACTTTCAGATTACCTGTCCTGGCAGTCTGCGATTTTGGATGAGTGGATGTTAGATGCTGTCTCCTAATGTCACATAATTCAGCGTTGCATTGTTGCTAGCCCCCTCATTTCTCCACCCCTATGCATTTTCAAGATTTGTTCCCAACGGAGTCTGCTTTGGCAGGAGGCGAATGTCAGAAAGTGCAGAACTGGTGCCTGTTGGGCAGGAACTTTGTAGTATAGAAAAAGAACAAGAGCTGGAGTACTTGTCCTAAGATTTGAATGTGTCTGTTTAGAGATTAAAGTTCACAAGGGTGACGTTTGCAGTGGTACTGCTGTTGTGACTTTATCAGGGTACTTGTCCACTTTCTCGACCTGCAAGGTCTGGCCATGCATTGGAAGCATCTCCAGTTTGCTGTGGATCAAGGTAATTTTCAAAAAAGGAGCCTCTTGTTTGTCCTGTCTGTGACACCACAAGTTTTCTCTAGGATCTTGGCACCAGCTATGGTGTACTTTGAGGCAATTGTGCCTTTTATGGATAAATGAAGGTATATGTCGCAAGCAGAGCGGGCATTTCTGTAGATTCTGCCAGGGTTTTATAGTAATTAACATTTGGCAGTTGGTATCCGTGGTAGTGAGTGCACATATAAATAATGTATCTTATGGGAGCACTTGTCTTATAATTTGTTTTTTTGTTGTGTTATATTTAAAGTTTTGCAAAATTAGAATAATTCCTGTTCTTTAAATAGTAGGCCTCAAATTCTCAAGTTACAGTCTGCCTTTCGGGCCATATTTTATAGTACCTGATAGAAGTACAATTGCTATGCATGCTGCCAAGTGAAACATATACAAGGACTGATATTTACTCAGTATTCCCTTTTCTTCCTAGATCTCCATCTGCTGGTAGACGTAGCTTGCAAGCAGGGGTGCTTTCCGCAGGAAGAAACGAGAGAGTGAGAAGTGGGTGACAAGTATGTGAAAATGTGCAGCAGCCGCCAGCTGGGTTCCCTTGTCAGACTCCAGCGGCAGTGCTTTGCACACAACAGGCACTTTGGATCATTTCAACTGTGTTCTTTTTTAAAAAAGCCTCTATTTTTTGCTTTCATTTTAACTTTGTAGGGTATTAGTCTCTCCGTTTTTTACACCTCTTCCACTACATTTTCTACCTGTCAAGTTATAAAGCATCTAGTGGTCAGAGTATTTAACATGAAGTAATTACTTAGCTGCTTGTATTCTTTAGATATGGAAAGGCTGAACTTTTTGTAAACAGGAAGCCTTAAAAACTTTCTCAAAACTTTCTTACTGGGAAGCAAATTGTTCTTAGTGCTGTCTTTGGAATCTTTTTATTTAACATTGTTGGAAGCTACAGTATACTCGGCATAGATGGTGTTTGGTGCTCTCACTGTCTTTGCCTGAAGTCATACTGTGGCCCTTTACTGGGAATTGTGTATGAAACAAAAGCGTAGGAAGGTCACAAGATTCTAGGCCTGAATGGGTCAGGGATTTCAGGAGAGCAGCTATGGGAAAGACAAGCTAATTTTCTGAGTGATTAACTAGGAAATGCTCTTCCTTCCTAAACCAATGCTCTGTTTCAGCAGCAAGTGTCTCCTTTCTGGTGGGTATCTATTACATATGACAGCTGCTGATCTTTCACATTAATGGTGAATTCTTCCGTTTTAATAATTTTCTTTTGATTCTAATGGTATCTGTAATGATAAGTTATTTGTTGTTTTAGTACTTTGTTTTAAATAGGTCTTCAAAATAAATTTTTAACTTTTAAAATATGATTGTATGTATAGCGATAGTAGATCTTAAGTTTTTAATAGCTATGCATTTGTATTTATGTTAAAATAGTTGAAGGATAGAGGGGGCACATATTTGTGTTGTTAGGGAAATACACGTGGAAGAGCACTTAAAACATAAATTTAATTGCTTCATGCATGTTCATACTTCTTTTATAATTAATTAGAGCCAGCCCTGAGCAAAACGCACAAGAAAGGAGCAGAGAGAATTTATCAGGACCACCTCAGTTGTGCCCTCCAGAGCTTTGTGTAGCTTCTAGCTGTGGTCAGGATGTCCGAAGTGAACACTGAGCGGCAGGATGAACTGAGGCAAAACCTTTGATTATTCACCAACAGTCCAAACTAGACAAATGCAACCTGAGGATGCTTTTAGGTAGGGCAAGTGGGAGTGTTACCATGCTGATTGTCCTCGGATTTGTTACTCCTTATCATATGTTGCATATGTGCAGTGCAGTTCCAGCTGATGTGAATAGTGAAAGGCTAGGTGCTTACGTTCAAATCCTCCTCCTCAAATGAAACAATGCGGAAAGCGTTTCTAAACAAATGAGAGTATTCAGGTAGTTAAAAGGAAAAGGCGTTTGATAACATTGCTGCAGCTTTGTCACCTGAGTTTGGTTTTGTGCTCCCCAGCTGACGTGGCTTGAGACCCTTGGATAATATGCCGTGGAAGTAGTGGACGCTCGGTATGTCCTGCGGTAGTTTGTGCCATTCATAGTGACAGGGTTTGAGAGCATCGGTCTAGCCTTCCCGGTTCCAAGGTGTAAGCAGGTGGCGATCACAGGAATTCAGCCTTACCAAACTGGAGCTGCTACCTCTTTAACGCAAGTAAAATACAAAGGGAACTTCTTAGCTTACCTTTCTTGCTC